ACCTGTGCACCCCGCTAAGCTACCGCTAATGACCCCAGAACTCGATCCTACATGGAGTCGCGATTCACAAGTCTGCATCAGAAGAAAAATATAAAATCGAGTTGGCCAAGTATACGACCCGTTACCCAACGCTAAACCTGTACCGACCGCTTGTGAGGATCTACTCTCTAGCTAGCACAGACCTTTTGCCATCTATCTTTCAGTGAAGTGTCCTAGTACGGTATCATCATGTGTCACTCGACTTGTTCTGTCTATGTATATTATAACACCATCGTCTTGTTGATACGCCAATTCTATGCTCCAGCACTTTTGACAATCCCAAGAGACCGCAAACATGACCATTGACTGGCAGATTGTATGAACGGTAGAGCGTCAAAGAGAGCGGGGCTTTTTTCGAGGCTTAGCCACTGTTCGTGCTCAGCACCAAACATCCTGTACCCTATGCGTACAAAGGTCTGCCCATCTGTGGCTGGGACGAACATTAAGCCGGTAGGCAATGCACAGGACGTCGCGATCATCTCTCGTCTCAGTTTCCTCAAGGCAATCTTGAGACCCTCTTCAAGTATGTCAGCGACTAACGCAGTGTTTGCGAATCCCTCTACATGCTGCCATACCCTCATCAGAGCTATTGCCTTTACTCGAATGGAATAGTCTGGGGTTCTTGCTGCTGCATTGTACAACGCTGGGACGATGGGACTATCCAACGTGATGATTGGATAATCCCGAAGCTTCTGAATCGCGGACTCGGTCAGGGAAACCAGATCCTCGCTTTCCTGGGCAAGTTCTGGGGACAAGGGTGTGCTCCTGCTCAAAAGAGAAGTCTTGAGCGCGAAGTTCAAGGCGAAGCAATTTACTGTGGTCATGTCTGTCTCGCGCTGTTCTTTGTCACTCAATTGGCTATATGACTGACGCGTCAGCCAGTCTAATCGGCACAGAAATCGGCTCATGGAAGAGAGGAGAAAAAGCTGTTCTTGATGCAAAATGGCATAGTCCGCCATGATCTCGGCTTCTGACAGTTTCCAGCTGCGTGCCGCGAAAGGCCACCCAGTGTTCAAGAGTGGGTCGCAAACTCGTCTTGCATCCTGCAAACGCTGAAATGTGCCAAGGTAGTCCTCATACGGGTGTACGGATACCAGGTCACTGTCAACATGGAAGTGTACACCAGTCCCGTAGAAGACGGATTGCGCCTGGAGCTGCAGGAAGGTCTCTACTATGCATGGATCCACGGGTGAGATGAATTCACCCGAGATCTTTCTTCGTATGTTCAGCTTCTGCAAAACCTGCAGACCGCCTTGGACATGTGCACATGCGTTGTCGTAATTACCGCAAAGCATCTCGCAGGCGATAAACAAGAGACAGCAGACTAACACCACCTCCTGGAATTGAGGATCCTGCGAAAAGTGTCGTTTGTTCAACAGGGATATCGAGCGTCCCGCCTGCTCTAGTCCAAACCAGTACCAGATGCTCTGCAGCTTCTGACCGGGTCGCAAAACCTTGTTCTTGTCTTGGGCATTATTGATGGCCCCCAAGGCAATGGCAGCATGATATACAGCCGGTTCTGTGTAACTCAAGCGGAGAATAAGACGGTGCCAGAGCGACGAATCATAGAATCCGACCATGTTCTGCACGGATTGATGCTGGAAGAACGACAGACATCGACCCTCGTCCGAGGTCACGGCCCACTGCAGCCCGAATGCTACCTGAGTGAGTGCTGGGTGTGCTACAGCTACCGCCCGTTTCAATTGTTTGGATTGAGGACCACACGCTCGGGGAAGCCGGTGGGCTTCGTATCCATCGCAGGTACGACCTGTGGACACGCAGTTGGTGCAAGCATCGGGCGCTTCATCACATTTGATGCGACGCAACCTGCCGAGAAGCGTTGAGTGAGTATTCTTTTTTTTTTGTTTTGATTTTTATAAATCTGTTTTTGGTGGTTGCTGTTGTTCTACTGAAGGCCGGGTATGGATACGTACCGGCAGGTGCGACATCCGGTTGAGGATCGTTTTCTGTGTGGCCTGCGTTCGGAAAGCAACATGGTGAGGCAGTGGGACTCGATAGGATTTTCGATGGGAGGGGGTTACGCTTGGATTTAAAATCCACGGAGTCAGGAATTGGGGTGAATCTTTGCGCCAAGCGTCCGAAATGAGCGGCCAATGACTAGTCTAAGGTCATTTTTCGGGGGACTAAACCCTTCTTCCCCCCCGGGCCGTTGTCTCGCCTCGCCTGTCTCGCGTACTCTAAGGCTGTGAAGCTTTACCGGAACCGGTCTGACCCTATCTGATCGCTCTCTGGCCCACCGTAACCTCCACTGCTGAGATGTCATAATCTTAACTTTGGCCATGTGGAATATTCTACCATGCTTCCAGAATACGAAGTATACATTTCGCCCCGTAAGCTTACCTACAGTTCATTCGAATTCGACAAGTTCGATAAGTTGGTCAACCCATGCGCATTCAGGATGACGGGGGTGCCCCGAGGGTGTGAGGGTGCCAGGGTGTCAGGCAGCCGCAAGGGTCTGGCTAAGTTGAGTTAAGTCAGTGAACTAGTGATAAGTTATTATTAACCATCCCCAATCAAAGACTCATTGCTAATGCTAACTCTTGCAACCCCGCCTGCGTTATCTGACCACCAATTCGTCAGTCACGCTAAGAGCCGCTAGAAAGCCCACTAAGCGTATGCCGATCCGATGAAGCAAATCCTTCTCCCCAACTGAATATCTACTCCCTTCTAAGTGCCGTCCTCTACTCTTGCTGGCCCGTTCTATCTTTGACTGTTCTGGGCTTGCCCCCAATATGACACCCTTAAGTATTACATGCTTTGAGGGAACTTCTGACACTTGGATCCGAATAATCATCTTCTCGAGTTGAGCAGAGTTCAGCCTTGGATTGATTTCTCTTCGTGACGGGAGCCACATGGTCTTCTTTTAATGTTAATCTTCTTGGCCTGCTTGGCTTGGCTGTGGGGGCTGTGAACATGAAAGTGAAAGTGAAAGTGATTGTGAAGGTGAAGGCGGACGCGGACGTGAACGTGACTCGAGTCAAGCCACGGAGTGAAATTGCCGAAAGGGGAAGGTCGAGAGTACCGCCGGCGAACTCGCCTCGACTAGACTAACTGCAGCCCAACTAATCCCCTCACTCCTTCTCTCCGCCCCTCCCCAAATCCATCCCTCCGTTTCCTCACACAACCTGCAGCTCCCGCAAGTTCATTGTCTCCTCCTCGGCTCGCTGGAGATAGTCTTTTTTCAACAGCATGCCCAACACAGGGGTGTAATCAAAGATCAGGTCCCGCACCTTGGCCAAAGGCCAGGGCAAACGGTGGAACATGGACCCCGAGAAGCGGGCGAATTCCATGTGATGGTTCGCGTAATCTACGCGCTGCTGCTCATACACCTCAAATCCAGCGGCGACGGCTCGGCGATCGCGCAGGTCGACTCCGTCGAAGGCGCGGGCGAGATAGTAGCCATCCTCGATCGCCATCCCCATCCCATATGCGGCATACGGTGAGACCGGGTGCACTGCATCGCCCACGCCGACCACTCTCCCAGTCGACCATTTCTGCAAGGATGACCGGTTATAAACCTCCCATCGGTAGACTTGGGACCTGAAATCGGTCGCCTCGAGGAGTCGCGGCATCGGCTGTGCCCAGTCCTGAAGAATCACGGCCAGATGCGCCCGCGGGTCTGCCGGCGCCGGCTTATCCTCGTAGGAGGGCTCAACCACCCACCACTCGAACCCGGGTCGGTTGCCTTCGCGCATCATGGGAAAGAAGCTGGCCTGGTATTGCCAGTCGTGGGAGATCACCCCGTGGTGGGCTGGGATCCCGGGGATCTGATCGCACCACGCAAGCCAGACCCGGATGCCTGTGTGGAAGAGCCCGGGCTCGCCAAAGGCCTGCCGCGACACTGTCGACCGAATGCCGTCCGCCGCGACTAGGATATCTGCCATCATGGTGCTGCCATTCTTGAATCGGATCTGTACCCCGGTGTCTTCTTCCCCACTGGCTTGCTGCTTCTCCTCATATCCGATCACCTCATGATCCGTGTAGATAACGCCTTCCGGGACCAGTTCCAGCATCTTTCCGAAGATGGTTGACCGCAGCACCCCGTACTGCCAGCCTTGGATGCCCATGCGTCGCTCGACCTCGGTGTTAAATGGCAGCTGGACCCGTTCCTTACCCCATTTGTTGGCGAAGGTCGTCCGTGTGTACGACCCAAAATTGTCCGAGGTCAGCCCGTAGGCGCGGAGGATGGCGAGCACGGGGATGGAGAGCAGCACCGCGCCGCCGATTGCCTGGCACGTGCGCTGTTTCTCGAAGATGCGCACATCGTACCCGCGTTGGAGAAAGGCTAGCCCCGTGGAGATTGCTCCGGGGCCTCCGCCAGCGATGGCCACTCGTTTTCCGGAGCGCCAAGGCGGAGACATATTGGAGGAAGCTGGGATTGAGAAGGAATAGATAAAGAAGGAGTGGCTGTATTGGAGAATGATGGATAGTAGATTCTGATGGAGCTTGTTTAGTCCTTATATTGCACATCTGTCATTCTATAGTTGGTACTTGACTTCGGAGGGTAACCGGCTACTCAGCGGGGGTTCTTGTGAGGGGATCGGCAGGGATTCTCGGGCTTTGGGATCGTCTCCAGCTTCCGTGCAGTCACCACCACCTATCATGGAGATGAACCTTGTTTCGACTTACGTTTAGCCTGTAAGTTTTCCAGGCAGCAACCGAAAGTCTGGAATATCCGTTTCAGAGGTCACCTTTCTCCTCAATCTGAGGCAGCTTACTTGTTGCGCCGCCCAGCAGACTGCTCATGCCACGCCCCGTTTCATGCTCCGAGAGCCCTAAGCGAGAACCATCTTCACGAGGTCTTCGGCAGGATTCCCCCCACTTACCGCTTGACTTGACCAACGGTCAAGGTCAGCAACTAAATTAGCTATACTTTTGAGCGGTCTGACTCCGGCTCTCTGCTGCGGGGGCTTTCTCGTCTGCATCTGTGCTGGGGTTCTATGGACCCTGCCAAGGAACGCAATAAGCACCCTCCATATATCGCGGCATCTTCTAGATTCCGCAAGAGCCTAGTGGGTATACGTGTGAGCTGCTGATGATGGGCTCCTCGACACGAACTGGCAAGTGGCCGAGGTCCCGGAGATTGAGTCTGATCCTGCCGCTGGGTTGTCGATGGTGGGTGAACAGGCGTACTATGGAAGCTACTAACGGATCAGTCGCGAGCGAGGATACTGCCTGGAGGTGATGCAGTAAGATATGTCGGACCCATCATACCTTCGAACCGAGGTGGACGACGTGCCTTCTGCTCCGTGTCCCAGTCTGCTTGTTTTTAGGTACTGTATTCGATACCCCAAGACCGAGACTCCTACACCATTGAGCGCAGACTCGCCGCTTAGAGGGCAAGGCTATGTTTCGAGAGGCAGATATACACCAGCAGATCATAGGGCTGTAGCTCCGAGTGGAGTTTACATGTATCCGGACGAAGTCTTCCGCTGGGCTGCACTATCATCTGTCTCATTATTTGCCTTTGAAACATAAAGCCACAAAAGTGTCATCATTACATCAACAGGGGCTGTGGTTTAGTGGTATAATATTCCCTTAGCATGGGAGAGGTCCGGGGTTCGATTCCCCGCAGCTCCATCTTTTTTTTGCTGGATTTTGCTGCTCACATTTGAGCAGGTGTGGGGTAGCACTGCTACATTTTTTTTTCTTTTGGCGCGTGAGAGAGTTGTAGTTAAATGCGGCGCTACTGGTGGGAACGTTTTCCTCAACTGAATTCACCCCCTTTTCAGTCAGCGTGGCCAGCGGCATAGCACGTGAGATATACTTTGAACTGACAGATGAAATCTACACGAACGAACCAATCAGCAAGCTCGCGCTCATACCCTATACTAAGCCAGCCTTGAACTTACGCCGATCCCTGGTCTCAGGCCAGCCGTACTGAGCACAAATAGACCCGTTGATACTTTACTATAAGAACGGTCCGAAGTACCTCTTTTCATTAACTTCACCAGCCCTCATGGCTAGCTACGACCACATCATCGTCGGCGGCGGCTTGGCCCGGCTCAACCCTCGATCGTGCCCTCCTCCCGCGGAACCATCACTTTAGCCTCGACAGATTCCGCCGCTGCCCCGCTCATCGATCCGAATTACTACGCCACGGAGGTGGATCGCGTCACGCTCCGCGCGGGGAACGGGCAGGTGAATCGGTTGATGCTGGATACGCCGCAGGGGAAAGAGATGGTGACGGCGGAGGTCGATGAGGCTTTTCGGAAGGGCGGCATGACGTTTTATCATCCGGCGGGATCGGCGGCGTAAGGGAAGGTGGTGGACTCGGAGTTGAGGGTGTATGGGGTGGGCGGGCTGAGGGTCGTTGATGCGAGCGTTTTGTCGTTGTCGGTGGCGGGGCATTCTCGGGTTGCGTTGTATGCTATTGCGGAGCGGGCGGCGGAGTTGGTTGCCGGGGTTGTGGGGGTAGTTTGTTACTGGGGAGTTGAAAAGAAGGGGGGTCCGGGGGTTTTCCCCCGGGAATACCCTGTTCTACTAGATACTCAGGATTAGGTTTATTGAGAAGTGGTTGTGGGGTCAGTTACTTGGTTGGGGATGTGAAGGGTTGCGTGAGTTGCGGGCACTAAAGGTGCTCTGTTGTTGCTGAGGTGGAGAGAACATGGAGGTACTGACAGTTACTGTACGTATCTTTAATTAAGAGACATAAATAAAAAAACTACAATGCACAAGATAATTTCTATAAGATACTGGCAGTGTTAGTATACTACAGTACTAGAGTTCATGAAGGTATTCTACAGATTTCGGAACCATGTATTATAGGAATTATACGAGTAAGGTACAGCCCTCAATGCTAGCCTATATAGACCTTGATGAGGCTCCAAGTTTCCTTAGGCAGAAAAATAGTATAGAAGAAATAGTGTATGTAGAGACTAGAGATAGTGGATACCTCCATATCGCCTAAGTCGAGGGGCCAGCGTATCAATTCTCATTCATGACTTGGTTGCCTGGATTCCCCGATGCACCTAGGCGTGTACTGGCAACAGATGTCGATACCAAGTCAGTCGACCCCAGTGCATTGCTAATGACACTCGAGTCAAATCCTGATGGTGTTGAGTCCCCCGTGCTAGGCTCACTGAGAGGTTCTGAACAGCTCGTTAATTCTATCCTGACTCCCACGGTTTTGGAAAGGAGCCTGCTCACTTTGACCCACGGGGCATGGTAAGCTTGATTCTGTTTCACTCTTGGTGATTAGTCTTCTCCGCTGAAGTGGCGGCTTTGGAATAAGGCTAGTATGAAGGAATGTGCCATCACCCATCGCCATTGAGCAGCTGGAGTGGATGTGCCGTGGACTTTTGACAGCAACTGAAGCCATATATTCGGAATCTTGCAATAGCGTAAGCCAGGGGTGTCAGTCACATTTTCAGATTTGCAAGCATCCACCGCTCTCGACATACCAGGCGCGGAGATCGCCTCCTCCGTCTGGTCCTGTTTATTGCAGGTTGAGTAGAATATTCCTTATGATGGTTCCCGCAGAGGAACAAAATTCAGCATCGGCAGACCACATCTCTCAAAACCCATGGAAGTCATGACTGAATGCGTCTTGGAAGGATTCTGTGTCCGTCGGCCGAGATAAATGGTCTGTGAAAATGCGCTTCACGTAAATTTGAATGTTTCCCAAACAAAACAATTTCCATAGAGGCACTCGGAATGCATTTACTGTCCTTGCACTAATTTCCAGTCCTATTCTCATTTGGAGCGTCTGCGGATCTGGATAGTCATCCTGCCATAGGAACAAGAGCACGAATTCCATTGACCGTCCCGGTATCCTCTTGAGACTCACCCCAGCACTCGTGTTGACAAACTTGGAGGATCCCACATTTGCACTTACTGTATCGGCTGCCCAATTCGGCCGTCCAACCCCCTAGGAATGTGAATTCACTCGTTTCCCGCAGTTTCGGCCCGAGCCCCTGATAGTTTAAGCCCACATGGCATTGCGCCGTCTCCATGGTATGAGAAGAAGATATGACAGATGATGACCCGATGGCAAGTACTGCTGTGTCCTTGAAAGAAAAAGAGGACTCGGGTAGCTGCTTGCCCAACGTTAACCAATGACAACTAACGGCTTCTTCTTTGTCTGCCTCGGGTCTTAGACCCACTATGGTACTTCGTTCGAGTTCGATTTGCACAATCATTCCTTCGCTCGAATAGGATCTTCTCAATGGGCCCCGTAGATCAGCCATCGATTCGACTGAAGTCACCAATGTTCTTTCGCGCGTCGTCTCGGTGTTTCCCAGGCAGAACACCCAGACTAGCCCTCCAATGTATTCATGAAGACAGCTCAGACGGACCTGGCGGAGCGAATTGAAATCATCGCCAGCACCTTCTTCTGACATGGGAACTTGAATTCTGTTTCCGAGTCCAGATACTTCTCATGAAAGGCGGAGACGTGTGATCCAGAGTAAGATACCAGAGCTATGCCAAGCATACGGATCAAGGAAGCAAATTGAACGACAATGTCAGCGTATGAAGTAGCGGAGCCACATTCGTTACCGGGTTTGGTGAAGGCTGTGCGGGCCACTCTACTCATCTCAGACAGATGCCCTGGGGCCGGCTCTGACAGGCCGAGGCCTAAGGCAAGAGTGTCGTGAAGAGTGTCCAGGACATCACTACCACAGGGTATGACCTTAACAAATTCTCTATCATCTGGCTGTTCGACAAGGGTGCTATACCCTTTTGCCGCGAACCCTATCTGTTCCCCATTAACCGCAGTCCTCCCCTCGCATTGCTCAGTGTTTTCATCAGGAAGGCGAGGAGCTCGGGCCATGGTGTTGTTGATAAGGGCATAGCAAGCAGGATAAGGGGGCAATTTTGGGCGATTTCCATTCCAGGCCCTCGAGTCTTCCGTAATACCGGCCAGGATCGAGAATCGGATCCAAGTCTAAATCTTGAGTGCCCTCTCCAGTTGGAATCTTGTTGTCTTTGTGTCACTCGCCGCATTCAAGGACAAGATTAAACAGACTCGATGCCCTATAATGATTTATTTCCTATCTGAAGCCACTGGAATCGTCCATAGGAGCAGGCATGTCCTTCCGTACGTCCTTGTAATGCCCCGGAACTCGACCACGTATGATCAATGGTTCTGAAGTCCTCCTAGCGATTCTCAGCCATTGCAGGCCTCGCGCATTTTCCCCACTTGGAATTTGCACATGAAGCTCAACAACCAGATTATAGTATTGTTGCTCTCCGCGCCTCTTGCCACTGTTTGGCGTGGCCTTTTGAAACTGTACGCGCTCAAATGTGTGACACACCGGTCGGGCTTCACCTTTCTTATTGCTCTGCACTGTATTGCTGCCGGGAATGCTTGTGTGATCAGACTGGCCTGCTCTCTTTCTATCTGTTGTAGCTTGTATGAAGGGGAACAAAGGTATCCTTTGTGGTCTCCTCTCAGACGGCTTATGCCTTCTGGGGGTCTGCTGTATTAATTCTTGAGCCACTTCACCATCCTTACCGTGTCTAATCGCCGAAATTGTCACGGAGAAGCCCTGTATTCGCTTGGCTTCTGCCCCATCTGGCTGTATAGACAGCCCATCGTATATAGCTGTCGGCACGTAAACGACACACGAGACTGAGAAATAGTTACGGCGATACCCCGTCCATCGGCCTTTGTTGTCTTGAAAGAAGCCTTTGGGAAATGACGCATCAAGTCTGGGCTGGACAACATCCTTGTTCCCTGCTGTGACTCTGTAATAGATTTCCGGCTCAGTGAATCGAGGACATGGTATGGGTTCAATATCTAGATGTCGACTATCCATACCCATGTGGCTGCTGGTCACGGAACGGTATTCGGGGGGCACCGGAGAGTGTGGACTCCCCAGCGAAGGGCTGCTTTCGTGAAGGTTCTTGCTGGAGGTGCGATCTTCTTCTATAGAAGTCTGTACGTGGTTGTGGGAGGTATCTTTGGCGGGGTTGGTGGTATCCGTCGGGTCGCATAGGGTCGACTCCGGGCTTTGTGATGTAAGCTTTGGGCTGCTTGCTTCTGGATGAGCACTCCGAATGGAATTATGCTCAGCATGCTTGCTGAGGTTGAAACCAATCGTGCGGTGAGACATGTCACTCTGGATTAAGAGATCAATACGTGATGAATTGATGCGGGGTTCTTTTGGGCATCCAGAATTCCAACGCAGTTCTCATGCGGGGTAATGAGCTAACGTAATCCGCAGGCGAGTGATGAATGCAAGCAAGTGATGAATACAAGCGAGTGACAAATTTTTTCAAACCACCGTTTATTGTCTCCAAAGAGCCATATTCACGTAGTATCATGCATTGTGGATGCTTGTTCGTACTGCTTAGGGAGACGGAGGTATATGAGGTCGCGCTAAGCCTGATCTGGAAGCGCCTGTTTCCTCCCGAGTCCCGTCTGCCCCGGGCTGGCCGCATTGCACCTTCGTTCTCATTACAGAGGTGGCGAGCACATTGTGATTCAATTCACGTGATCCATACCGAGGCGAGCTTGGATATATGCACTGGTGACTGAAGATGAAGACTCACTGGTTGCTGTTGCTCGTGGGTCCGATAATATCGGCTGAAAGACACAGCTTCGGGCGCACGAGGCCAGATAAGACAACAGTGCCATCCCTACACCAAATCGGAGTCAAGTACAGTGCAGTTACATATGATCTGTCAATTGCAGATTCCAAGCCTCTATCATCCATTCAGAGTACCCAAATCGCATCCATGTTGCCAATGTGCCATGCTCACGACACACGCATGGTGACGAATGCCAAAAGACTCCACCGCGATCGCTGGCACCGTGATCAAGTACATGTTATGGAGTTTACCCGTGTCAGCTACCCGACCGGCACCGACCACAACCAGAAAGCTAGCATCCAAGGAAATCCTACACCAAACGGGAAGAAGGTGGATCTGTCCAGACTCGAGACATCAAGACTAGTTTTCCACCCGAAACAACCAGCTTTGAGCTGACTGACCATTGCTCCATGTGTATCTCTCCGCTCTTCGAGAGAGTTAATAATAGTCAGCGCCAATGCACCAATGTGACAGGCTGGAAGCAAAATGTTACCGAAGTGAGGCTGGGAATTGGCTGGCTGGATTGATAGATTATGAATGGCTGGGCCGTTGAATGGCCCCTTCCCACCCCCCTCCCCGGTCGGGTCCACATTCAAGTGAGATCAGCAGCACGCTGGGCGCTTCCCCGGAGGCAACGGGGACCGAGGTGCCTGCTCAGCACTCAGCTCTCCAATGACCGGACACCACGAATAGGTACGATAAATGGATCATGGTCCGGCCAACTGTGGGCAGGGCCTGGTGTTGAAGAAACATCATGCTGCAGGCAGGTTGCTACTTGTAAGCCCGATCGTACACATGGACACAACTACTGATTGTGATAGATGATCGACGGAGCTGCGCTCTTGCTGACAGAAAACATTTGACGATGGGATAGTCGAAGCGAGAACACACCCAGACCCCAGCCTCCGGCTTACTTTATTGCGTGGATGTTTTATTTTTCTCGTTTTGTTTCCTCGGTTGTTGCTGACGGTGATTGTCTGAGAACGAGCGCGGGATGGACGGACGATCCAGAGAGAAAGAGAGGGGCTGGCAGCAGGCAAGCGCATTGAGCGTCGATCGGCTGAAGCTCCAGCTCCAGAGCTCGGATTTCCGATGCGACCCGGGGAAACCGGCCCAGTTGCCATGGGGACCCGGAGGTGGCTGGCCAGCCTCGTGGTGTGTGCGTTGGGAGGATAGAGCAGGGTCGGCCTGCATGTGAACGATGAGGGAAGAATTGATCAATCAACTGCGCGGTGGATCAAGGTTGTTAGCGCTGGTTGGACTTGCTTTGGGAGGATAAATTCCCTATATAGATCAGCGTGGTCGAGATAAGTGTGGGAGGCGAACTAGAGTAAGTTTGAGTTGCAGATTCAGGAACCGTGGTTTGTAGGCGAATTTCTGAACTGAACCTCGGGTCGTTCCCTTTCCCACCCACCCACCTGCCTCTTCGATTGTAGATTTGATAGTACGGAATCCGGGTGAACTGGGCAAAGTAGGAGGAAGGGACTAGAAAGTCAATTGGAGGGGGTTAGTAGCTAATTAGATAGGGATGATGAGGGATGTCTGGGAATAACATCGCCCCCAGAAACGGCAAGGTGTGGTAAACAAAACGCGTGACGAGGGAAACCATCTGCATTTGTATTTCAGCGGGTTTGTTCCCCTCCTCCTCCTCCACTTCTGTCCTTCTCCTCCCTCTTCTCTTTCTCCTCTTCTTCTCTTCTTTCTCCATCCTCTTTCATCTCTTCTTCCCCTACCCTTACTCTTACTCTCACATTCCTATCCCCTCAAGCTTTTTAAGCTTATCTTTTATCTCACATTCCTCATCAGGAACTTTCTCCGCATTCCTCGGGTAGTTTGATCTATCAACTTCCCCTCCACCCCCTCCCATCTCTCTACGAGAAAGACTTCTCTTCTCCCTAAGAGTCTTTTCTTGTCTCGCCTTTCGAGTTGTTTTTAACAGTTCGAAAGGGATTCGAGAAAGGACGCCGACAGGACAGCCAATCTGGACTTTGACGCCCGCGTCCCCATCCCCTTCAGTGTCTTCCCGTCGTCGTACCGGAGTGACGCTGTTCCTGAAGCTACTCTCGCGGCCACAGCCAGAGTAGAGGAAGAAGTCAATCTCGATCGCACTTCGCACGTCGAACGGGAAGATACTCGAACCTCTGCTCCTCTTCCCGACCCGCGTGTCTACGGAAAGGAAGAAATCGACCTTCACTTCGTTGAGCGCGATCAGTTTGCTTCGGTGCCCGAGCCTCATCGTCACGAACATCACCACCACAAGCACTCCTCGCGCCCTAACGACGTCAGTGTCCACTTTGACGAGCGAGTCACTACTACCACTAGTACTGCTCCTCCGCCCCGGTACCCCGAGGTTGATCTAACTCGCGAACGGTATGTTGAAATCCATTGAACCGTTTTCTTTTTTTTTTTTTTTTTTTTTTTTTTTGCTTTTCCCTGGTTATAAAGATTTGTCCGGTGTCTGCCTAGACTATAGTCTAGCACCGACAGCAAACCAAGTGGAGAAACAGAGAGAGGCCAAAAGAAGCGGTGTCACCATCATCGAATCTCTCTTGGCCTAATGCGCTCTAGTTCGCCTCCTCCACTTCTTGGTGGTCGGTCCTTTTGATTTATTTTTATTTTTTTTTCCTATTTTATTTCTTTTGTTTTCTTTTCTGTTTTGTGATTTCTTACGTGGCACCAAAACAAACAAATCACCCAGTGGTCCCTTGGCCCTAAAGGGAAGCTGACTGGGTCTTCCCGTGCTTTCCCACTCTTTCCCATTCCCCATCCTCTCCTCTCTTTCTCCTCTTTTCTCCTCCACCACCCGCCGCCCTCTTATACTTTCCCACCCACACACACCTTACCTGACTATTACCTCTCCCCTTCCCTTCCCCTCATACATACATACCTTTCTTTTCTCTTGTCCCACCCAATCATCTCTTATCCGCTTCCCCTCCCTTGTCAATCCTAATCTGACATCTCATCCTTTCTTCCTCTACAGCTATCGTGAACCGTCGGTCCGTTTCCAAGACCGTCAGCCCACGTACGATCAAGCTCTCCAGACTCAGCTCGATATCACTGAGCGTGAGTACCGTCGTCGGGTCAACAACCCTACCTACGACGTCAACCCCGCCTACAACCGGTCTACCCAGGCTCCTGCCGTAGACTCCTACGCTCCAGGCCCCCGCCAGCAGACCAGGGACGTATCGTACGACCGCACTATCCAATCGGAGATCGACGTCTCTTACGACCGTGCGTACCAGTCCAAGCCCGTCGACAGCTACCAACGGGACCCCTACAGCCGCCGTCAACAGAGTGTTGAGCCGGTTTCTCAAGCTCCTGCTTCTTCAGCCAACGTTAAGGTCTACAAGCCCAAGACTGTTGTGGATTCCCCTCCTTCTCGCAAGATGGGCTACTACGACGACGACGGTAACTATCACTCCTTCCGTCGTGGTGTGGAGCGCGTTGCCGACCGCATCATGCACCCCACCTCCTCCCACCACCACCACCATGGTCACAAAGACCACGAGGAACTAGTCGTCGCTGACGAACGCGGGCCAGTTCGATTCCGTGAAGGCGTCCGCGAGGATGTCCGCATTGTGGAGCCCCGTGCCGGCAACTCCTCCGCCACCGCCGAGACCGTGCCGATCCCCGTCCACTTCATCCGTATCGGCGACATCCTGATCCTCCAGGGTCGTCCCTGCCAGGTGATCCGCATTTCTGTCTCTCCCCAGACCGGCCAGCACCGCTACCTGGGTGTCGACCTCTTTACCCGGGAGCTCCAGGAGGAGTCCAGCTTCGTCTCCAACCCCTCCCCCTCGGTGGTCGTCCAGACCATGCTTGGTCCCGTCTACAAGACCTACCGCATCCTGGACCTCCGCGATGACGGCCGCCTGGTCGCCATGACCGAGACCGGTGATGTCAAGCAGGGCCTGCCCGTCGTTCCGCAGGGTCACCTCTTCCGTCGCATCCGTGAGGCGTTCGAGGATGGCCGTGGCAGCGTCCGTGCCCTTGTCATCAACGATGGTGGCCGCGAGTTGGTCGTTGACTACAAGGTGGTCCACGCTTCCCGCTTGTAAGCCTTTACTCGGTTGGGTATGGTGCCCGTGGGCGGGAACCGTGGTCACTCCCGCAAAGCACCAACCACGGACCGCCCATGGGTCTTCGACTTTTCTTTGTGTTTTTCTTTTTCACTCGCAGCGCACGATCATTGATGACCTGAGAAATTAAATCTTGTATCTGATGGATTCACGTATGATGGAATGGCCTTTTGACAAAAATTGTTTACTTGAATGTATCATGGCCTTCTTGTATCTAGCAATAATGGATGTAGATCATGATCTAGACTGGCTTCCAGTAGACTGACCTTACCCTTTTGAATATGAATCGGGAATACCTTGACCACGTCTCCAGGGGCTGGAATTACCGTGCCTGATTATGTGTAGTAGAGTATGATAGATAGCTCGAGTTTCAACACTCATCAAACACAACTAGGGAATAGGAATAAGAAGAGAAGTCTTCACTGTCAGAGGTGGTTGGCGTTGGCAAACCATATTCCTTTCTCTCCCCCGTCGAAGAAAAGAATGTGTTATGCCAACTGGTAATAGTGGAGGGTGTTTGAGACAAACAGGTAGTGGTCTGGTCGATCCCCAATGGATATTTTATTTTGACTCGGTTTGTTGGGGAAAACGAACGGACTTCTTTCCATCTTCTGGGTCTTGTGTGAGGAGGGAGGATGGCGGGTCTGCAGCATACGACTAGTTGCAAAGGGGGCAAGGCAGGCAGTCCACTGTCCATGAGGCTACCATGTTAAGTGGACGCGGCGCGGCGCTCTCGTCCTGGTCGAATGGGACAGCACCGCACAGCACCGCACACTGTTGGCTCTGCTTGGCTTTGATGATTCTCTGCGTGAGTTGCTGATAGTAGGTCCTGTGTGCCGAGAGGAGTACCGTAGTCTCGAGGAGATGGGATCTCAGGGTGGAGTTGGAGTATACTATTCCGATAGAGAGGGGGGGGGGACCTGGCATCCATGTTAGAGTTAGAGACAGTATAGGATGTGGTGTGCTGTGTGGTGTGGCTCGTTTCCGGACTGTCAGCTTAGGTATTTGGTTGGATGCCCGGTGGTAGAATGGAGACTCACGGGTTTCAATCTTTCACAAGGAATGTAGTATTCCAGAGCAGATCTTCAAACCCGGGGGCGTCTCTACAGTCTGCGGAGGATCCACGCATGGCTTCGCTTGTTGTTACTATGCACAGTACAGTACTACCTCCCGCGCTCGTTGGGCGTACACCTGTACTCGGGGGTATGCTTAGGATCTATCGCTATCAAGAGAGAGATCAGGATACACTAGCTTAGCCGAAAGGGGAAGGTAGGTGGAAGCTCAGCTCAGCTCAGGGCTCCGGGCTCCAGGCCATCATCCCTTCAGGCACGAGGTATACGGTACCTCCCTGGCCCAGTACTGTGTGTACACTTTCCCATCTCGCCCCTAAATACAACTACGAAAAAGTCCCAAGTTCCACAGTCAACGGTCACCAACAACCCCCATTGGTTTAAATTCAGCTGACACTCAAAAACCCCGTATTATTGCGTCCATCGGCCGGACAGCGCCATCACGACCACTCGAAACGAAAACGAAGGGTATCAACCAATTTTCAAACCCTAATTGAAAAAGAAACAATAATCCCATATGTCCATCCATCCATCCACCACCCGTTCCGAGCGCCAGATATCCTTGTACCCAATAGCTATAGCCATAGCCATAGGTGGAAGACGCTAACAAAAAGAAAATCCGTGTATCTCATCAAAGTACCCTGGTGGTGAAAGCTCCTCCAGCACACACACACATCCCACTGAATCAGGTGACCCCCACCCACTTTCCTCTCTGTGGAAAGCAAAGCTGCCTAAACTCTCCGAAAAAAACTCTTTTGATAAGTATCATTGGCCTGCATTATGATTATAGGTAGTGGTTTCCGGATGCAAAGTAAGGCTCCGCGGATATTATAACAAAAGTACATCGAAATGGATCAAAGACCGAAGTAAGTGCAAAGGAGGGAAGAAGAATGGCAAAAGATTGGTGCAATATATATATTAGAAGTGAAAAAGTGAATGATAAGATGTGGAGTCGGTCAGTCGCGCAAGCCGAACGCCTTGCGGAGTCGGGGAAAGCGTTTTTTGCGCCCAGAAGATGCAATGACAAGGTCGGCGGCGGGACGAGAATCGTTCTTCGTCGTCGATGCTGCTGGGATGGAAGGATCCTGTTTCTCTTGGGAGGCGGGTCCGCCGGCAGGAGCGGGAATCGGGCTATTGCCGGCATGCTCGTCAACGGTCGCGAGGCGCTCGTCAACGCCGTTGGTGGCAGCTACAGGTGCAGTTCCCGATTCCTTACGCTCGGTGCGTAACGGCCAACCGTCACTGCGCGAGGATCGCTGTGATGCACGTCGCACAAGCTTGGACGAGGATGGTGGCGGCGGGTTGGTCGCCGTGATAGTGGTGACGACGTTGGTTTGAGCTCCAGGCAGTGGGGGATCTTGCTCGCCTTCCGCGCGCGAACGCTCTGCAAGACCGCCATTTCGAGTGGTACCATTTGTGAGGGACTTGCGATTAACAGGCGACTTGGACTTGCGCATGCTGAACCGATGGAACAGTCCCGCCTTGCGCCCTCGGTTGGGCTGGAGAAACTCGTCCATCTCCTCATCCGTCATGCCACGACTCCGAGCCACTGCTGCCAAGGCAGGGTCCCGTGTTGGGCCTGGCTTGCGGGGAGACGGCACAGCAGCTCGCAGTCGAGACGCAGCCGCCTGCCGCTCCTCGTCAGAGCTGTCTTCTAGCTCCGTAGAATCGCCGTCGTGTGCACCATGTCGCCGAGGTATTCCTCGAACAGGGGGTAGCGGAGCTGGTGCTCGTTCATCCTCGTCGTCACTAGAGTCGTCATACCGATATCGTGATCTCCAGTTGTCGAAGCCCTCGTCGTCGTCCGAATCAGGGAAGCGTGAAGTGAATCGACTACCAGGTACCTTGGATACCTTGTTCTTCGGCGACTTATTGGAAAAGAATGAGCCCTTTTCGCGCTTGGTTCCATTCATTCGAAGTGTGGTCCGCATATTACCACCCGATTGCGGCGAACGCGGACGTGAGTCGGCGGGCGGGGACATTGTCCGGGCTGGGGCCTGTCGGACTGGAGGGGCGCCCCGCATCGTCAGACGCATGGTGTGGTTCGACTCAGCCCGAGATGAACGACTGGCTCGCTTGAAGCTGCTCGAAGAATCGCTGCCACTGGATAACGTTCTTTGCGGAGTTGATGCCTTGCCGTTCGCTGCTGACGCACGGTTCCTACCGCCGACTCCATTTTGCATGGCAGCAGGACTCCATGACATTGGCCTCGCCCGGTCTTGAGTAGCAGTTGCCTGCGGGACGTCAGAGGTCTTCGTTGCTGTGTTGTCTGCACGATCGCCTAGGTTGGGTTGTTCAACAGACTTGACATGGTGAGAAGCCGACCGTGCGAGACCGACTTGGGCCGAACCATCTTGGCTTTTCGCCTGGGACGGCGCTGCGAAAGGAGGATAAGGGGACGAGAAAGGCATGGCTTGATGCACCGACTCGGGGGATTCTGGGACGGGACTGAGGGCTGTATCCTGCACTGGAGAGCTCGCACGGGCAATCTGACATGTCTGTGGATACTCTGAATCCGACCACTCATCCGTATGATGCTGGTTCTCATCAGAGAGACCAAGTCCTGTGGCTGAGCCTTGGAACGAGGGAAGCGGCGGCCGGCCATCGACGACAGCATCAATAGAGCCAAAGCCATGGCCATTAACGCCCTCCTCTGCATCACTGTAGACGCTCTCACCGGACTCGTCGTCAGTCTCTCGCTCCGCGGCTGAATCAACCATGACATCGGTGTCGTCCCATGTGATTGACTTTCTCTTGGACTTTGCCTGTGAGGGATCCGACTCTAAGGAGGAACGTGGAAAGCCCCCAGGGACTTCGTACCATTCCAAGCTCGGGCGCTCTTTTTCAAGTTCGGGCGAAGCTGGTTGAACGGTAATATCAGGAACTGCCAAAGTCTGTCTGGGATTTTGTGGTTGTGTTGCCTCAGCTGGGGCGTTGACCTCCGCCGGGTGGCCGATTGCCGTGCCTAGCCGTTCTACCTGATCATCCCTGTGACTCGATTCTGACGGATTTTCTAGCTCCAACACTGTTGGTAGGAGACTAGCAGGACGAACATGCGTTATGCTCTCTTGCGGCAAATCACTCTGAGCAGTGGCTAGGACACTTCCCACAGCATGGTCTTTAGAGAATGAAAACCTCGACGTATCAACTGGAGAGTCGGACGAGGTCGTGGATTCATTGTCGCTAATCTCACGAGGCTGCGGCTCCGGCTGACCGCCCGTCCTGTTACCTCGAATACTGCCAAATGAGGGCAGAGCAAGTCGAGGTTTCAGCATATGCTCGAAATCATCAGGCGTCCCGCTTCGTAGATTATGTTTTCGCTTCGCAAACCACCCACCCTTACTCTTGGGCTTGGTTTGCGGCGACTCGGGCAGAACCTCGTCGGGAGATGTCGGCGGGCTCGCTGCCGTGCCCACGATTTCCGCCTCATCATCGAAGCTGACTTTGGCATGCCTCTTTCGAGTCCCCTGCTTTAAACCATCATCGGACGCGACAGAAGTACCATCGGATAGTTCACTAAGCGCAGGGCCTGGTCGCAGCACTGTCTCTGGGTGGGGATCGGAAGCAAGGCCGTCTTTCCGGGTATGTTTTAGTGCAGATTTGGCCGGCGACACGGACCTTGGTGGGGGTTGGTGAAGGTGATCGCTTGGAAGGTTCGCCACCAATAGGTTTCTTGAGAAGCGAGCAGAGCGCCCGGGACTGCTGGATTGACGCATATATGACGGCTGCGGTTCAGCACTGGCGTCGACGGAAGGCTGCGAGCTCGGCGGGCTTATCGGGGGGCTAAGTAATTGATCCTTAGTCTGGTCCGGCGTAGATTGCGGTTTGATGGTCTGTGGGCTCTCTGGTGTCACAGTACCCCCATGAGGGAGCTCTGCTCGCTGGGCGGGGGCAGAGGTTTCTGCCTGTTCCTCCCCTTGGGCATCTTCCGGCACAGTTGACGGGCGTTTCACCAAGGCAGGGCGTGTAGGATGTCGGGCTTCGGGTGCCAGGAGCTGTTGGGTCGGTGCTGTGTCCGGAATACTTCGATCTTGAGATGAGGGTCTCCGCGGAGACGCAGCAACTGGGCTCGCTTCTTGGCTTCGGGGTACAATGGCAGCCTGTGCAGCAGCCACCGCAGTCCCTGCAGACGATGGACGCTGTCCCGGACTACCGGGGGAGACACCCCTGGTTTTGGCACCCCGCGTTGCTCGGGGGCTATTGCTCGTAACCTTCGGAGACTCTGCAGCGGAAAGCTGACCGGCCAGAGAGATAGTCGTCGATGCATCCATTTCCATCAAACCCGTCGGCGATGTCGGACGTGAGCCCATCGGATATGAGAAGTTGATCGAGTTTCGACTCGCGGGTCGTCGCGGCTCCGGGGACGGCGTCGATGCGGGTGCTTGTGCGGGCGCTCGTTTCGGCGGCTTAGGGGCGGCAGTGCGATCCCCGGTTGTTCCCTGGTCGGCCATCGATTTCCCGCGCGGACTTTGCCGCAACGATGGGCCCATGCTCACCGATCGACGTGCTTGGTCCTTTCGCCCGGTATATTCGCGGGGGATGGACGGGAGCGGCGGTGCGGGGTCGACAGGTCCAGCGCTTGATGCGGGTCGCCGCGGGGATTGATCTCGAAAAGTGCGATGCGTCATGGAGGCGGAACTGCTGGAGCGACGGACCCCATTTCCGCTAATGGGTCGCAGGCTCGGCGTGCCACTTAGTTGCGAGGAGACGGAAGTCCGCCGCTGCATCATCCGCTTGGTCTGCACATTTTCGACGGGGGTTGGGGTGGGGGTGAGGCTGCGCAGGGCGGCGGCCGCGGCGGCGGAGGAGAGACTGCTGGACGAGGGTTGGGATTTGAGAAAAGCATGGCTGGCAGCGGATTGCGCGGATTGAGAGGAGGAGACCGAGAGAGGATGCTAGATGAATGAGCGGGCGTTTAGCTTGTTGGAAGATCCGAATACTAGTTCCACAGAACGAGGGGTTACCTGATGTTGAGAGGAGCTCCTCTTTCTGCGGAACATGGCTCAGGCGGCCGTTGCCCAAGACGAGCGCAATTGAGTTTCCAGGTGACTGAGCCCGTGAATTCAACCTACAGCATATATTGATGGGTTGAATGGGCAATTTGATGGAGTGTATCAATGTATATTAATCAAGGGGATAGCGACGGAGGTCGACGGAGGGTGGGAAAACAAACGGAAAGAGAGTCGCAGCAGCAACGGGGGAAAGTGAGTGAGTGCAGATGCAGGATATCGGAAAGGGGGGAGGAAAAGAAAGCAAGGAGAATGCAGGGACTGCACGACGGGGGTGAAGCGAAAATGAGGATGGCACTCAGCGCACAGCACGGGGATAGCACAGGATAGCGATAGACAAGACGAAAGAGAAGGACGGGGGAGGGAGAGAGGCAGCAAAGGAAAGAAAGGCGTTTGGTTTAGATTATCGGCAGCAGGAGAGAAAAAAGGGCCAGAACCTTAGTTGGGCTGCAGAAATTGGTTGCGTCATTGAAATCGGGTCGAGGTTCGAATGGATTGAATGGATTGAGCCCGAGTCAGTTTGAAAATAAGCTGAGAGGAACAAGAATGGTTCGTTCCATTGCGCTTCCATGGTCGGGGAACTTTGGGAGGAACGGGGGAGATTCATCATTGGCCTGTCTCGATCAGGAAAAGCTCCGGTCCGCCGCAAGAACGTGATCTTCTACGCTAAGCCCCATCAGGCAGGCACTCTTGGAGCCTGCGGCCCAGTTAATTAGGAGTTGGGTTTCATCATTTCCACTTCAGACCCATCGTCATCATCATCATCACCATCCTCCTCCTCATCCTCCTCCTTCTCCTCCTCCGCCTCCTCATCCCCATCCCCATCGTCATCGTCATAGCGCAAGACTCAAATTCTTATCCGATCAGCTCCATCTACCGATCGTCAGACCGTGCCACTGACCCGATCTCTGCATAGTTCAGGCACAAATACTTACTCACATTCTACTACCCCACATCAGAAACTAAGCCTTCCGTACCGTGCGTATCCAACTCCACAAATCCCTCCTAAACTATGACAACATCGGTATCACCACCATCCCTCCCTCCCCTTCCACTCCCCTCCGGCATAACCTCCCGCTTCATAACCACACACTCCCTGACAACCCACATCCTCGAAGCTGGCCACCCACCAAACAAGAACCACCATGACCGTCCCCTCATAATCCTTCTCCACGGGTTTCCCGAAATCGCCTTCTCCTGGCGGAAAGTCATCCCCCATCTTGCCGCGGCCGGCTACCATGTCGTGGCCCCCGACCAGCGGGGCTTCGGCCGCACCAGCGGTTGGGACACCCGCCCCTACGCCGAGGCGGACCTGCACACGTTCACCGTCTCCGCCCTCGTCCGCGACGTCGTCCTCCTCGTATATGCACTGGGGTACACCTCCGTCCACTGCGTGGTCGGGCACGATTGCGGCGCCGTGACCGCCGCCATGTGCGCCGTGGTCCGGCCGGATCTCTTCCGCAGCGTTGTCCTGCTCAGTCACCCCTTCAATGGCATGCCGGCGCCTGCGAGTGCTGTTGCTACGTCTGTGGATGGCCAGCAGCAGCAGCAGCAGCAGCAGCCAGCTGGCTCTTCTGCTGTCCCCCGAAATTCGACAGGCAACGATCCAAACTCCATCGCAGGAGACGAGGACGTGCACTCTGCCCTGCGGGATCTGGGCCGCAAGCACTATAAATGGTACTACTCGACTCCGTCAGCCAGCGCCGATATGCTTCACCCTCCCGGAGCGGAAGGGCTTCATGGCTTCCTGCGGGGGTACTTCCATCTCAAGAGTGGTCGCTGGACAGGGAATAAGCCACGCACATTGGCCGGCTGGACCGCCGACGAGCTCGCCAAGATGCCGTACTACTATGTCATGCCAGCGGACGCGACGATGCCTGAGGCGGTGGAGCTACACATGCGCGAGGAGTCGGAGGAAGGGTTGCGGGCCTCCCGGGAGTGGCTGTCCGATAACGATCTCACGGTGTACGTAAGGGAATACCAGCGGACGGGGTTCCAGGGGGGTTTAAACTGGTACCGGGTGCAGACAGCCAAAGGGAGGCAGTACACCTGGGACTTGGAGGTGTTCATGGGGAGAAAGATCGACATTCCCTGCACGTTTGTGTCGGGCAAGCTCGACTGGGGGATCTACCAGCAGCCGGGCGCCTTGGAAAAGATGGAAAATGGCGAAGTGTGTAGTGACTTTCGCGAGATGCGGTTAATTGACGGGGTGGGGCATTGGGCGCCTCAGGAGAGCCCAGAAGAGGTAGTCCAGGCGATTTTGAGCCTAGTCGGTAGTCTTTAAGTACTCGATAGGGTATCGTAGCGTAGAACTATCTGACATGATGCAGACCATTCGCCTTCGGCAGCCGGCCTAAGGCGGACCACATGCATCCTTATCTGCCTTGGCAATTGCACACTCGGCCAGTCGGACAAGCTCGGTGGTGAAGTTATCCAAAAAATGCGTGTGAAAGATTACGCCGAGGGTGGGTGTTCGAATTGGGACTCTCTTCATCAGTTTGGGAACGCCCCGTAGGGTTTTCATGAGACCGGATCCTAGGGGGTCCGTGAGGACAGCGCGAAACAGCGTGAGAACTGCAGTGACTGCGTAGAATATAACCACCCTATCGAAAAAGACAAGTCAACGGCCATTTCCGCGTTGTGTAGAGACAGACAAAAGCACTCACCAGAAACATTCTCCCGCCAGGACAGGCAATGCGACCTCGAGGAACGAAAGTGTCGACTGATTGGCATTCGTGACCAGCATGGCACTAGAGACTCTATCCCTCACGGGACAGCTACGGCACCTATCAATGGCTTGATGAATGAGTGCGACGCAGTGATAGTATGCAAGCCGCAACATGATTGCCTGTGTGTTCAGGCCGCGACTGACCGGCGTTTCGTCGTGGAAGGACATCGTGGGCCGGATATCCGGATGCAAGCTCTGTCTCCATTGTTCCAGCTCCTGGTCCAGACTCCGGATGCTCGATAAGATCTCAGAAACCGATTTCTTCGCAGCATTTGCGGAATAGAGAGCCTGGTAGACGTTCGACTTGATTATCGAGAGTCGAAGGTCAAAAGGGAAAAGAGGGATTGTGTCATCGGTATTCGACCTTGTCTCTCGTTGCATGTTGGACGCTTGCAGATGCGCATAGTCCACAGGCAGAGTGAGGTCACAGTGAGTGTCATTGATACATGGAGGCTGCCCTATTCTCAAGCAAATGTCCTTGTCAAATGAGAAGCATAGCCAGAAAAGATCGCGCAGGTGGTGCTCAGCTACACTTTTATGGTAAGCGCTGTCTGGCGAGGACTGTGTGTGAGCACGGAGGCTGAATAGAAGACGACTGGCTATCGACACGGACAGCGCAGCAGCCTGCAAATCACCCAGGAAGTACTGATGCTGGATCTAAGTGGCAGGTGAGCTGATACCCACAGAAGGTACAAAGATCACAGAAGGGGGCTTTTGACTTACAAGCATGAGAACGGACTGCAGACCGCTGAGAGTCATCTCTCGAACAAGACCAGCCATAAATCCCTGCGCAGCCCGGGCATAAGTCTCGCAATCATGGGCTTCCACCAGATTGCCATTGAGCCCGAAGAGGTATATCACCGAGAGAAACGCATACACGCATGACTTGGCACTATCGGAGCCAAAAGCATCGGTTGGTCCGTAGGCGAGATCCAGGGTCTCCGTAAAGAGAGTCTTGCTAATTACCGGAAAGACGCGACTCTGGTAGGATGAGCAGTACACTCCAACATACTTTTCAACGACAGGCCGGGAAGGAAGTTCCGGCGACGAAGAATGGGACCTGGCGCCCGAAAAGGGCTTTGACCATGGAAGCTCAATCGAGTAAAGTTTCGCGTGGTCAACCGTCTCACCGGTGCAGGTTTCGATCCATTGACGTTCTTCCTCCGGTGTGATGTAGGCTCCATCGTTGAACGCCATGGTCAAAGTGGCCCTTGCTGCAGTGCCTGAGGAATCACTTAGTCTGTGACTTGGTGCTCAATACTGCTCGGATAGAACTGACTGTTACGAGCAGGCATCGTCTTCGATTGTGCCGCGTCACCTAATATGGCATCGCGACCAGTACTTCTGAAGAGATGAATCAGACATTGTGGGGGTAGAATTGGAGCTGATGAGGGAGATTCAGGCGCAATCTCGACCTACTTCTTGAGCCTCGTATATGTGCAGGCAAGGTTGTGGTGAAGGCACCAATTGCACTGCGGGGATTCTGCATCGCATTGTATCTAAGGGAGCATCAGAATAGCACAGTAGTTCTTGCGATAGCCTTATGGTAGCTGCTGAAGAACCAGTGGCGGACCTTTTTCTTGAAGCATGAGTCGCAAGCTGCGCGTCGGGGCGCCTTCGGAACTTTGGTCACCCTGGATTGCGATGCCGTCGATTTAGATCGTGCACTGGCCCGAGTCGTTCTAGCCATTCTGGAGGCAATGACGCAATATCCTGGCTTGACACTGAGAGTGTACTGAGTCAAGGTACGCGATGTTGATCCGGGCTCCCTGCCGAAGCCGAACTTTCGTGTCGCGCTTTACTGTCATTCCTCGTAGCCGTCCTTGCATTCAAGGCATCTGCCCGGGACGGCAGTCCTACATCGTATTCTTGCTTCAAAGAATGGCTGAGACTAATTCTCTATCGTTTTCCATGAAGCGACTTATAGAACTATTGTCTTGGTGATTTATACGCTACATAACTTAATTCATGCTGAGTACGCTGACTAAGCAAGCCACATCAACCATCGATCCAGTATATCAGTCTGATGTGTCTGGTGCTCTGCCGAGTGATCTAAAGCAGAAGGGCATGGCAGAGCATCTCACCGCTTAACTTAGAGGAATATCGGACATTAATCTAGCCAATGGTTCGCCCAGAAGGATCCCCGCAAATCCTGTCGGGTCGGTAATTTTTCTGAATTCCTAGTGCAAATAATCACAAGCCCGAAAGGAACAGCTCAGCACATAACATACAGCATCCTATTCTCAGTAAAAATACACAGGGTGTCCACAGACTCCCTCATCAACCCAGCAACTAAGCCTTTGGTAGTCATCTCATCCAACACACCGCATCAAACACCAAACCTGAACTCCCGGACCTTCTTCTGGTAGTAGAACGACGCCAGCAGACCGGTGGCACCAAGGACCAGAGGCATGGGGGAGCGAGCCTTGGTCTTGATGATCCGCGGGATGGCCGAGCCAAGCAGGAGGATGCTGTTTCCCAGCGCAAGCTCCGTGCCGTAGTCCTTGTTTTCCTTGATCAGGTAGCCTGGGACCAGTCAGTAACAAGTTTCGGATAGAAGGCCCAAAATTTGCAGCTCAAGGGCAACGCAAGCGTCCTGCAGAGAACATACCAGCGAATCCGTAGGAAAGACCCAATCCCACGCCTGCGATCAAGGAGGGCTTAGAGCCTGTTCGCATGAACCCGGCGATGCCGCCGGCGGGCACTAGTTGGCTGTTAGTGGTCATTGGCTTTTCACACCACGCATATTGGGAGGAACTTACAGAGAGCCGCGAGAGTGAAAGAAGGGTGTTCAGCCATGATGAAAGATGGGTTGACAAGGAACAAAGTTCACGAACTCGGTTGGTTGTCAATGGCAGGTCATGCCATCCCAAGTGGTATTTTAAGCTGTCCGAGGGGGCCGGTGGGCTAGGCTGGATGCAGTTAGTTTCGGGAGTCGCCCAAGAGCGAACACCGATTATTCAGCGGAGGTCTTGCGGTGTTGGTTGGCTCGCCGGCTGAATGAGTTGCTGGAGGTACCTGAATTCTGCTCAGGACTGGCTGGTGGTGTATGTGGAGCCTCAGAGATAGACGGTCATACAGCAGATTTGGAATTCTCATGAAATAGACTATACAGGGGTCAGTCAGCGGGGTATGTGAAGACCAAGATGTCGGTAGATGTCGGTAGATTCCAGAATGCTGTTGGAATTCGTTCTCGATAGAGTCAGCATTGATGGATGCATTTCCCAGACAATCGCATAGAATCGTCATGCGGAGAACACAACGGTACTATACAACAAGAGCGCAGAAACAACACCCAACCACCCCACCCACGCAGAGTGGAGGGCAGATATCAATTGGAAAGGTGAAACATGAACTGCTTTACAGATCGCCATTTGTACTCATGAATGACAAGTGATTGAGACGTTTCAAGCCATTGTGCTGCATACATCCCGATACACTCAAACTCCAGGCTGTACAGAACCCCACTCACCCAATCCGATCCCCCCCCTTCCCCCTCCCACGGGCCCCAAGCTCAACCACCACCGCCCCGCCCCGCATCTCCAAGTTTTTTTGTACCCAGCACCAGCACGCAGCACCAGCATCCCCTCCCTCCAATTCCCCATCTTCAACCCCATCAAAATGCCACACACCTCCCGCAAAAAGACACCCAGCAGCACTACCGCCACCAAACGAACAACAATCACCGACGCGACCGGCTGGACGCACGTCACGACGACCGGCAACGCCCACCGCGCCCATCGCCAACACCGTCCACAAAACCACGCACAGCAACAACCACCACAGGAAGAACTTCAACCCGCCGAAGCCCCCAAATCTCTAACCCTCGCCTCCCTCTTCACGCAATACCGCTCCCACCGCACGAAATGGGCCAGTGCCGCCACCGCCGCGACGCTGACCACGACGGTGCGGCGGGAGTTTTACCTCGGAGAACAAGAACGAGAACCAGCCCAACAAAGCCAAGAACCACAAGCCCAAACAGAACCCCAAGCACAACCACACCCACAACCCGAAGACCAAGACCCTGAAGACAAACAAGCGCAGCCATCCACCGAACGCGAATCGACCCCCCGCATAACCAACATAATCTGCATCGGCCTCGGCAGTCCCAGCGGCTTCCTGCGCGGCGGCTGGGTCGACCGGCGCAGCGTCTCGCTCTACCAACTCAATGCGTTGATGAGTGTGGTGGAGTGTTTGAGTGGTACGCATACGCCTACGCCTACAAGAACCCAGCCCTTGCCCCCAAGGCCACCCCCCCTCCCCCGCTCTAGCGATCAATCAGCCAGTAATCACCCAAGACTAACTAACACATGAAACCAAAAACAGCAGATCACTCAACCACACCCCTACAAATCTACGCCCAAGACCCCGTCTTCAACGCCCTCGATCGTCAACTCCTCACTTCCCTCGGGATCACCGTCGTGGAGCATCCGGCCGGGTTCGAGCGGGTCACCCCCAATTCGCTGCTGTTCTGTCCCGGGGCGGAGAAAGCGCATCTCGAGGTGCTGCTGGCGCGGAACCCGGCGGGGGTGGTCGGCGGGCCCTTGGAGGATACGGGCTCCGCCGGGATCGAGCGGTTCGTGGCGCGGACGGGGTCGGTGCGGTTGCCGCGGTTTGAGGAGTTGAAGGAGGCGTTTTGGGAGATGAAGGTTTACTATACCCAGCAGGTCGAGGAGGAGGAACCGTGAGGACTGGTGGGCGAGAAGGATTAAGTTGGAATACCAAACAGGGATACATTTGGCGGACACGACACAGCCAGACAATGTGCCAGTCACCCCATAGAGTGCAGCACGCGGACACACAGGGCTCCAGCAACGCAAGTATAGATGATATTTGCAAGTAACTGTCGGTGGCTTAGGACCATCACTATCAACAAACTATATACATACAGCATGGCACGGGAGGTAACATGAACAGCCCTCCCAACAGTCAAGGACAACACCGCCACCCTCACATCTGTGCAAAGAGATAAACAGGAAGCGCAAACCACCGCAAAGAGATTCAAAGCAAGCCATTAATCCGTGCATCGTTAAAACATGGTGTATGTTGGAGATTCGTGTGTACATCGAAAGACCCATGACACTAATAGTCGGGACTTGGATAGAAAGTAATAGGTGGAAAGCGCGACACCTCATGTAGCGGTTTTGCCGCCGCAATCGGGGATCTTCAGGCCTGGTTTCAGCTTGCGCGCCGCATCCATCAGTCCCCATTTGTCCTCCCATTCTTCGCCTTCGATGTTGTACTGAACCTTCCAAGGCTCATCAAAGGCCTCGAACCTGTAACTGATCAGAATTATAGTCAAATCAGAAGCAAAAGACTGACGTACCAAAAATACTCGGTCCCATTCTCCAAAGCCTGGCACACCCAATCCGACATGAATTGATTCATCTCGTCAACACCTGCCACAGCTCCCTGGGTGTCATTTTGGCAGTTGTCGCCATCGCCACAATCATTCCCTCCACCGCTGGGCCAACCCACTTCCGAGATGATCTGCTGCTTGGTGGTGCCTGCAGTCAGCGGAGCATCGTGGTTTTGCCAGAAAGTCCAGGTCCAGCTGGCTGCCTCGGTGGCTTTAACACCGCCAAAGAACGGATGGATGTTGGACATGACGAAGTCTGCTGCGTCAACCAGCTCCTGATTCCAGTTATCACCCAGGTCTGATGTCCCCACGGGGAGGTCGATGCTGTTTTGCTTGAAGTGGTTTTTGACATCAGTCATGTAGCTGATCAGGGTTGTCTGGGCAGTTGCAATGTCTGGGCCTGCGCGATATAGAGCTTCGTTACCGATGATAGCTCCCTTGAAGATCGAGGTATCATTTGCGTCATCGATGATGTTGTACAGCTGTTTGACTTGGCGCTCGCTTGTCGTTTGGTTGCTATCAATCCACACGCCCAGCCAAAGCTTCATGTTGGTCAACTCGAGGCGGTCGATAGCAGTAAGCACCATCTCAGTTTGGTTGCAATCTGTACCATACAGTCGGATCGTATTGGTCAATTGCGAGAGAACTGCGAGATCGCGCGTGACATTGTTCTGGGAGGGAGGATACTTCAAGCAAAGCGGGTACTGCACTCCCCATGGCGTATAATCCACTCCCGGGAAGACCTTGTGCAGATTAGCATTATTCATCAAATCCTTGATCTCCGAAGAATCTTTATCAAGCAGTCCATCAGACGAGTCCGAAGACCCGTCGGAGGAACTGCCCGACCCCTCTGCCCCGTCGGAGGAACTGCCCGACCCCTCTGCCGCAGCCGAGCCATCGTGACTTCGGTTACCCAAAATGCCCCCGACAGCTCCTCCGACAATGGCAGCCACGATAATGAACGCGAGCGTGAGTCCCACAATCCATGCGCGCTTGCGCCGGCTTGCTCCGGCTATTGAGCCAGCTCTCTGTCCTTTCTCGGCTGCTTCAAGCCCTGGGCCAGGAACAGGTCCATATGACGGACTGGAGTCTTTCTTTCCCCCAAACAAGCCCCTCAAACCACCTAAAAGCCCACCGGTAGCGGCTCCCCCGACGGCGGCAGCACCTGCTGTTCCGTTAAAGCTGTGATGACTCGACGGTGACACACCCTTCGGCGCCACGTTGACAAACCCATCGTCCCCGTCATCGGCAATCTCATCCGGATTGAACGTGAGCGGGTAATGTTGCGTAGAATAAACCGATTGCCGTTGGTAGGGCCCTTCACTGAACGCCCCCACCCCCTGATAAGGACTATCGTGAATACTGTGCTGAGAAGGCGCCGTAGTCGGCGTCAACTGTCCCGGAGCAGCACCCGCCGCGCCTAGCGCAACATTCGACCCGTAGGAATCGCGCGGTCGCAGGGTTTCCGAGCTGGCGTTAACGGTTCCTTCTGAATGTGGCGGCGGTGCGGGGACATACGGATTCTCGGCGCCAGTGGTGTGATAGTCTCGTTCTGCGGGGATATTGTACAATGATCCGGCTGTTTCCCTGAAAGCGTTAACACCACTCTGGCGGTCATGGGTATTAGCAACGCCAAGGGCGATACCACTGATGCCTCCGCCCACGGCCGAGGGCCCCATATTGTCAATGCCCGGCGTCGCGGTGAATTGGGTGCGTGTGTGCTCCAAGCTCCGACCTTCGGGCACGGGCTCCAAATTCCCGTCGTTGTACGTTTGACTGTGTCTCTGGTGTGATGCGATACGATTCATATCCATGTCGCTGTAGTACTTGCTGTCCATAAGACGCCCCTCTTCTGGCGATGAACGCCGGCGGGAACCTGCGACCACCGCCCCGTCATCGCCCTCGCTGTAACTAGCAACCCGGTTAAGCCCGGACATGGCTGTGAAAGAAACGACTGGTCACGCCAAGGCGGCGCAGGAAGGCTTCGTAGGAAGTAGAGCCGATCAAAGAAGAAAAAGAGCCTAGATAAGATAAAGATAGATGGAGGAGATGCCAGAGAGTTATATGAAAATGAGAAAAGAAACGCAGCTTTGCACAAAGCAGGGCGGGAGGCAACGGCTTGGCGGGCTGTCCTGAAAATAGCAGCACAATAGGCAGGGACGAACGAAAAGCAGCCGAACAGGGTTTAGGGGTGGGCAGCGATGGGAAGTCAACACTGGAGCGAGGAAGCGAATGAAACGAGAACAGCGGCTATGGGTAAGTGAGAACCACGGTTACTCTTCTCAGATGACCATGGGAACGTCCCAGGAACGACGGCGAACGACAATGGAAGGTGACAGCGATACGATCTCATGAAACCTAAATGGTCAGCGCGAGAAGAACCGTCTGGACGCATTCATACGTAGCGAACAATGCGGGAGATAGATGTCTCAGATGGGGTGACGTGAGGGGGCGAGGGAGAAGAGAGAGACAGAGAGCGGGTGGGAATTCCTCACATACCAACTCTAGACCGGAGATCATGGATCAGATGAATTGAGTAGGAAGAGAGGATGAAGCTCTCTTCTCTTCTCTTCTCTTGAGAGGCAGAAAAAACAAGCGAGCTCGTATTATTGAAGGCATTACCGCATGCATCGCTGGAGTTGTGGTGGCGGCTGGTGGACCAGGCAACGAAGATTTTAGTTTAGTAGAGCCCAGAGGGAAGAGCGAAAGCAGCCAGTCAGTGAGTAGGAACTCGGAAGTATTGGATCATTCCATGCGGAGAAGAGAAGAACCTCAGGCCGTCTCAGGGTCCATGGTTAGTTCAGGGTCTGCCACTAATCCCCTTCCGGGCGCATCCGAGCTCCGGACGCGGTCACTGCACCCGCAGTGGTGTTCGGTTACAACCTTCAATCCATGGACACTACAGGACAAAAGACCTCGCCAGTCGCGTCCGACATAGTTCAACACGACATAATTCGATCACATTATTTTGTGCATACAACAGTCACTCCTCTCTCTCATGCAGTACGTAAATGTGTCCTACCCAACCCCCTCGGAGATCACGTTGTGGCGTCGCAAGCCACCCAGCGAACAGATACTTGTTTACCTCAGACTTACGTCGAAAGATCGCAGTCTCTCTGTTCGCGCAGGCGCAGCGAGGCACAGAATCATGCATTGGCACCAAAATAATAAGCAAATGAAGAAGAGCGAGCCTTGTTCCTCCTTCCGTCACTATGCGCAGTGGAACGAATCGTACATACAGCATACATATATGCGAAACATATTTCACAACGAGACAGCCACGCCCGCGAACCCTTCACCTAAGCCAAACCAGGTCATACCGTCATCTCGTCATTCATGTTCAGCGCAGCGTCTGTAGGGTCATCATAAATCGTCACGAAAGAATACAAATGTAAGCCAAATAGAATATACGACAGACCGAAGAAGTCTCTCCCGATCCACCCCTGGATCTCACGAGACCACCATGTTTCTCCTTTCCGTCATGGTCTCATTTCAGCGCGATATCTACAACTCATTTGACATCCGTGATGTTCCGCGAAAGGGATCTCGTCACATGTTTCAGAGAGAATGAAAGGAGAGTGTGTGTGCAACGAAAGGCGGCATAAGTGCCGTGAGAAAAGTGTAAAGGCGTCACATAAGAGAAGGGCGTGACAAGATAGAAGGAAAATCGTAACGGAGCAGTCGCGGAGCAGCGGACCGGACTTTTGCTCAAAGGTGGATTGGTTCATGTTGGAAATTTCAAGCTTCAACTTCTTCGGCACTACGTCGGGAGGCAGACAGAATATGTGCCGTGGCGTCTCGGGCTGGTGTGACTCGTCGCTTGCGCTCGAGGAAGCGTCGTTTCCCCGCTCGCGTCTCGAAATGTTGCGGAATTGCCGAAGCTTCTTGGCCCTCCGCCAGCATTGCGGCGCGCATTTTGTTACGGTATGCATCCACTATTACCCAAAAATCATCGGAGTTAGTTATTGTCATCGATACACACTTACAGTAACATTGATCTTCCTGAGAGCAATGTCACTATACCAAGAAACAAATGGGGCACATACGGGATCGCTGTAGAAACATCATCCGTCCTGCAAACACTCGGCTTTGGCTCCAGCTTATCCGATAAGCCAAGTCGTTGAGGAGAACCTCCTTCCGTCGTCGGCCTCGAGACAATCGTGGAACTGCAATCTCACTTTCACCATCGACCTGCGGGACGGGAACCATGACTCTTCCAGCGGTCGGCAATTCTTCATCTTCGTCGTCCGGCTCGGAGTGATCCTTGATGAACCGGTTGCCAGGTACCACGGAAGTGCGAGGGCTTCGCATTTGGACGGGGAAATAGGTCCGGGGAAATACTGAGTTCATCCGCCGGTAGGAGTCCGGGATCTCATCCATGTCAACTAAGTCCAAAGAAACCTTAACCCGGACGCGGGCACCCCGTTGGGTGTCGTCCACGAGGATAAACTTGCGAGGCTTACCCCCGGGAGGAGTGCCGAAGAGAGCTTCAGTGCTGGGGTTTTGCTCGTCCTCGTCCTCGTCCACTTCTTCAATGCGGCTAGCAGTCGCCACAGTTGGGGGCCGTCCTAGACC